TATGCATATTTAAAAGTAAAAAAAACAAAAAAAACTATTTATTTATTTTTTCATCATGTTTTTAATTTATATATCAGCATTTTCACAAATTTAACTTTTTTGATTTGCTGAACAAAAACTGTCACTGCTCTTTGTACTAATTGCTGTGTTGTCTTTCCGTCTCCTGTTATAATTAGATAAATCCAGTAAATATCTTATACAATAGTGACTTCAGACTTTAAATAAAATAATCTGATATCAGCGGCACATGGACTTGGGATGTGTTTAAAACTTAACTGTATAATTGGGGTTCTAGCCGCATTGCATAATCTGTTAGTTATTTGGCAACTTTAATTCAATTCAAACACTCAGAAAATTTGCGAAATTCGTAATGTTACTGGAAATCCAAACAAAATGAAAACTACTATTATGTCTCTTTGGAAAATATGATTGCAAAGTTATTCCAAAGACTGTACGTCCGTATATCTTTTTCTCATTGTCTTGTCTGATATGTGCACACACATAGAGACACTAGCTGTTACAAAGCTCGTAAACTTGTATGGTTTTGTGTTTTTTCAGTGCCAACTGAGTAGAACGCCATCCCGAAAGATGAATCCATAAACGAAGTTTTGATAAGAAAAAAACAAAACGGTGTTTTCCCACTGTCGCTGCAAAAAGACAATCAAAGCAATTTGCATGATCGTCATTGACCTAGTTTCAATTATTGACGTTGTATGATGCCTGTAAATTAATGTGTGAGTTACTGAATGTTGAAGTTCAAAAAACAAAAATATGTGTTGTTTAACTGAAAATTCAACATCAAGTTCCATTTTGGGCAAATGTGGGCGTGGTTTCTAAAATATGAGAGTGGTAGTTTTTGTAACTCAAAAAAATCAGCATTTTCTCAATACGTTTTTTAAAACGAATAATATTGTAGCTTGAGATGTTAGCACACGGAAGTAACACCTTCCGTTTCAATGATAATATCTCTGTAAACAAAAAAAGTGGACGCGCCATGCAAATTGCATTTCCCATGACGCACTGGCGGGATTGTGGAGCCGCGTTTTAAGGACGAAACTGTAATTTGCTTTCGTGTTCATATTGGGTTACTACAACTAAATTATCTTTTATTTAGACAGACAATTTAGCAATGTTTAACACAACAAAAATCAGTCCACGTGCAGTGAGTTCATAAATCAGCTTATGACCAGTTTTGTGATAGGTGCATGACATATTATTCAGTATTGGTAAATGGGGGTCAATCTCTTCAGTTTTAGAGATTTATTCTACTCATAATAGTAAAGTAAAGTTAAGACGTTGGAAAAATTGGAAATAGCAATTAATTATACTATCCAAGCAGGCATTTTTTTACCAACTAAATTTGTTTTTTTTTGCCTTTTTTTCAGTTATTGGGGATTTGCACTAAATATTTACCGACATCTGTGCACACAGACTGGCCCAAATAGAGTGTGTGTGTGTGTGTGTGTGTGTGTGTGTGTGT